ATCTTGAAATAATCTACATATGATCACCACATATATATGTCACATAGAAGTTTAAACACATGGCTCTAATCATAGCCAATTGCAACATTCATTCTAAATTGTATTCATTTTAAGCACGCCATTAACTTAGCATCAAAATCAAACTAAGAGAACCTGCATTAAAATCAGAAGGTATACTGAGTCATAAAAAGAAAAAATATTTTATTAATATGAAATTAATTACAAAAGGATCAAGACATGCCATCATCAGGTCATAAGGGTAGTCTTAGATGATTCATTACAAACATACCTTTACAAGTGAGGCAACCTAACAATCCGTTGACTGCTTACCTCTGATAAAGAGTTGACAAGATTTTATAAGCATTATACCAATAGCCATTACAACGCTTGAAATGATGATATTCTTTTCTTAAAGAATCTTTTCCCCTAAAGACTTAACAAATATTTTTAGAGGTGTCACCACAAGTCATTATATTATTTGAAATATGGATATTTCCCACAAAACATTTAATTTCATAAACAACTCTATCCTATTCTAATCCGATACAAGATTAGCTCATGACACATAACCTTGATGGCATAACTATGATATCTACTAAGGCTAACGAGACTCTTCGCTTTTGGGACATTTTGAGACTCCAAACTATATTGGAAATTTAATGTTTTTATATCTTCAAGGTCTTTTGTCTCCCAAGACTTCTTTCAAAAGATAATAGCATATGAAGTAATCGTTCACAATATGCTAGTGTCTTTCTTTGTAACTTATTCGATTATTGTATAGATATTCAAAGCATGTTTATAGAAAAATCAACTAAAAAATAAAATATTTTCCAACAATTTGTAAAAAAAATTTCTCATTTTGCTCCTTCATGATGGAAGAATTAATTATATCTTGAATCAATCTTTCAAATTGCAATTTGATTTTTTGCCCATGGAGAAATTCTCAATTTTTTGTCAATAGTGAGAGAATTAATTTGTGTGAAAAAAGATTTGATTTGAATCCTCGTTTAGATGAAGAATAAGAAAGAGAGAAGCATGGAAGAGAGATTTTTAAAAAACATATTTTTGATGTGATTAAATATTAAAATATTTTAATATTTATTTTTAAATTTATATAAAATTTTATCTTTATTTATTAATGATGTGTCATATTCTAGTTATTTGATAGTGTATAAAAAGCATATATTATTTATATATTGTCAGTACATCAAATATAAATCCCTAAATTATTGAAATAAAAAATTTTTAATGTTTTAATTTTTTTTATATGTATAATGGTTTACTTTTGAAAGCACTTAATGGAAGATATTTAACAAAAAAAGTGTTAAAGATCTTAAGTAGCTACAAGCTATTTAATGTATTCAACCAATTTTATTTTAAAAAATTATATTATTTAAGATTAGTGTAATTAAATAAAATACTTGTAAATCTTTTATAAAAAAATAAAATAAACATTTAGTAATTTTTCGTAATATATCAAACAATATTTATATCACAAACTCAATACTTAAATTTTCAAAACTAAAATCAATTTATTTCCTAAAATTAGATTTTTATACTAATCTAATAGATCCAAACCCAAATCTGAGCCACTAATTGTGAGGTCAGTAGGAGCGGTAGGTTGGCATAGCCAGCCAACACTTAGCAGATGAACAAGACCACATCAACGATTACAATGAATTTATCGCTGTTTTGCTTGTTGCTTCTCCCGCGCACCAAATCAGGGACAAGATTTTTATTTGGCGACCCAGGCGCGTGAGGCACTTGTCGTAGTTGTCAAACCAAGTTTCTCTTCCTCAGTAGAAACTAGAGACCTTTTTTTGAGTTGAGTAAGTTTGGGTTAGGGAAATCCATGAAATGGCGAGCAGCGACGCGGTGAAAAGGGCGGAGCAGCTGGTGGAGAGAGCAATGAAAGGGAACGACGCCTCCCACGATGCCGCGCATGTGTGGAGGGTCAGGGACCTCGCTCTCTCCCTCGCAAGAGAGGAAGGCCTCTCCTCCAACCCTCACTCCATGGAAATCGTAAATGAAATACATACTATTTGCTTTCTCCATTTATTTCCTTTATACTGAAAGAATTAGTCCAAGTCTTGAAACTAATGGTTCTTGTACAAAAAATTGGTCATTTACTTCCAGCCTCTGAGGTTCCAGGGCTACTTACATTGAACTGAACAATTTTTTGGGGATTCTGCACTTTTTCTTTATTTGATCTTCTGCTGGAGTTTTGAGGAAAACTTTAACTGTGCAACTTAGAAACTGTTTCATGTGTTTCTAATGTTGAATTCCAAAGCTAAGGTCTTTTGTTCTTCAACGTCAATAGCGTCAAATTCTTTTTGTATTTAAGTTTCTTGCTTTCTCTTTGCCACTTCCCTTCTCTTGGTTTCCTTCTAAATTTCTCTTTTGCCTTTGGTTTTACATGGCAGGTAGAGCTAGCTGCACTTCTCCATGATATAGGTGCACTCTTCTATCCCTATTCTCAAATAACCCTTTTCATTCTCTAAATTCACTGATCATTCGTAAAATGTTGGTTTCTGCTACAGGTGATTACAAATACTTGAGGTTTGTATTTCTAATTTTTGCTAAAGTACCGTGTGTCAACTCCTATCTATCTGGCATCAAACTATCAGAGTTGCTTTTGTGTTTCACAAATGCAGTTCCTTATTGCATTCCTTCTAGTTAGCTAAGTAGTTGTCACTGCCCAAAGACGGGTTTCATTTTTCATTTGCTCTGATGTGCGAGTTGCTACTTTGGCATGCAGGGATCCATCTGAGGAGAAACTTGTCGAGAATTTTCTTGAGGAAGAGGACATAGAGGACAGCAAAAAGATAATGATATTAAACATCATAAAGGGAATGGGTACGTTTGAGGATTATTGTTTGTGACTAGCTAAGCTTGTGCCTTTTCTGTTTTCTTCGTCATTAATGTAACTTATTTTTATCTTATGCAATCATTGAATGTCAAGGAGGCTTCTTCATGTAAACCTCAATGAGTGTTCTAAGTACCCTTTTCTTATGCACTCCTTGTTTCATATTTGATATATAACCATGACAGATGACCTTCGGTTTTTTCAGGTTTTAAAGATGAACTTTCAGGGCTTGGAAACCATGAATTTTCCCCCGAATTTGGGGTTGTGCAAGATGCTGATCGTCTTGATGCAATTGGTGCTATAGGTAATTTTTGTGCTCTTTAATTTGGCATTTACCTCATTTTATTCTGTTTATATATTACCTGCAGATGGAAAATGCCTCATCCATGATCTGATACGAATGTTATAAGCTCAAACCTAAAATAGTTTCATGGTGTATTCTTGGCTGACTCAAGAATTAATAATGCCATCAACTTTCATTTCTTTTCCTTGTAGTGTGGTTTATTTAATGCACTTGTGTTGAACTCAAGATCTTTGATTTCAGGAATTGCTCGCTGCTTTACTTTTGGTGGAAACAGAAACAGAGTTCTTCATGATCCAGCCATCCAGCCACGATCAGACTTATCCAAGGAACAGTACATGAAAAAAGGGGAGCAGACTACCGTAAATCATTTCCATGAGAAGCTTCTCAAGTTAAAGGATTTGATGAAAACTAAGGTACTAGATGTGTCCTTTTACCCAAAACAATAATTGGGTGCATAATATTACTTTAGATATTTGTATATGTTCATATCACAAGAATTCTTAGCACCCCTTTTGGTATTGAGTTTGAGAATTGCTGGAAATTTCAGGCTGGGCAAAGGAGGGCCGAGAAAAGGCACAAGTTCATGGAGGAATTCCTTAAAGAATTTTATGAAGAGTGGGATGGGAGGGCTTGAATGAGGTGATTTTTCTCCACCCAGATACAGTATAATTGAAGAGAGAAAAATGAGAACATAGGTACAAGGAAATTACCTTATGAATTTTCTGTTTCTGACTAATTTATATTTCAGCATTTTTCCTCTAGTTAGCCTGCTCCAGATGATGGCAACTACTATCCTGCAGTTCAAAATTACTTGTGAACCATGAATGATGTTTTGTGGAAGTACCATTTTGATTTTGAATGGACATAAACTGTCAATGGTACACAAATATATGAATAAGTACACATGCTGTACCCTATAGAACAGGGTGTTGGTTAAGTTACTTCTGTGTAACTTTTTTCTTGGTTCTTTATCTTTCCACCGTATTGGATGCTGGTCTATACGAGGCTAACACTAATCATTGTTCAGACTTCTAAAATCAATCATAACATTGTCTATTGTGATAATTCTTTGATTCTGTTTTTATAGAATGTATACCGTTCAAACCATTGGTGTGCACTGTTCTCATTAAAATTTGATTGAAGTTGGCTTGCTGCACAATTATCAGGAAATAAATAGACACTATTCTTATGCTGCAGTGCTGCATGTGTTAGTGTTTACTTGGATAATTTACTTCTTTTTCCACGTATCTCAACTATACCTTCATCGTCCACCGAGGACCTTGTCAACCTTGCTTGTAGTCCACTTCTCACGCAAGTCAAATGTTGCTGTCTTTGAGTAGGCTGCTTGGCCAACAAGTTGCTGGTGGTTTGCAGTTTGATGTAAGGTCTAGAAGTCGTAGAAGGTCAAAAATTATGTTTTTTTCTGACTTTAATCACTCATGAAACTGGTCAGGGTTTGGTAAATGGTGCGAACCATTTGAAGCCTGAAGGGCTAATCTAATATATGGGAAAAAGCAGCCCGGAAGTTAATTTGCAGCGTTCCCCACATATCAGCAGATTTCTGAAGCATCACGGATGGTAGTAATCATAGAAACCTCGTGCAGAAAGCAGAAAATCGAGGGCTCTTGCAGTTAAAAGTGATACAAGGAGTGACTGAACCTGATAAGTAATGAAGTTAGAAAGGGGAGGCAAGGCTTTTGCAGACCTTGTTAGTTAAGCCAAATGCCATGTTTTAATTGTTTTCTTTATTCATATGTAGCTTTAAAGGCTCAGATGACCATAGAAATACTTACATAGATTAGTAGTTATCAAATAATGAACAATCCGATATAAAAACAAATACAAATCCATTATTGTACCATCCTATAGGTAACCGAATGCGGCTCTACGTGTATATGCTTGAATACAATCAGTATATGAGGAAAAAGAAAGTGACAACAGAGGGTTTATTTAAGATACTTAAGTATATGTCTTTAGGTAGTTTTGAAGCTCCGATTCATCGCGCTTGATTACATTTACCTCAAGCCCATGCTTCATGTACATGGTCAGGGCAAGTTTTGGTGCAACAGGATGATCTTTCACCACCTTCACGCGGTAACGGTATATGATTGAGGCAGCAGCAAACTTCATCTGATAATAAGCAAAATCTTTTCCCAAGCACAGCCGCGGACCTCCATTGAAGGCGGAGAATTTGTAGGCTGACTCGCTCATGTACCTGCCGTCTCTTAGCCATCTCTCTGGTTTATACTCCCTGCAGTCTTTTCCCCATATGGCTTCCATTCTTCCCATTGCGTAGATTGCATAAATTACTTTTGTTCCTTTTTTTAGCACTGTTCCATCTGGAAATACGTCATCTTCAACAACCTAAGAGAACAGAGGGATCAAGGAATCAATGTTTCATGCCAGAGGATAAATAGAGATGACAGGAAAATACGAGAGAGCATGAAAGTGGAGCGGAAAACAGGGTTCAAAGAAATAATAATAATAATGAGTTTCAAGTATAGGTTTTTTCCCTTTTAAACCACATAGTTGGTGGCTTCCTTTTCGCATTTCGCATCTAATTGACCATGCTATAATTTATTAGTGGCCATTTAAATATAAATGTGGGGAAGATTCTTTAACCCAAGTACGCAAAAGGTGTAAATATGTTAGTAATAAATACTCGTTTTATGAAGTGTTGACCAATAATTGAAGGTCTGATTTAGGTCTTCACCAAAATCTAGGTGATCAACTTCTAATCCCATTTTTAATATTTGCTACTATTAGGTTATGTCTTTGCAATTATTGGATTAGGTGAACAAGAAACTCACCCAAATTCATTCCCAAGTCATGACAACCTAGAGATTAGGCAGGGATGAACGAACTAAATAACATCGGACAAGAGTTGAACTAAACATTAACGAGAGGTAAAATGACAGAACTAGAAGAATTAACTCCGACCAAATAAACTACTTGAAACATATATGAATTGAATAACATGCCAAAGATGAAATTTAAATTAATGATTTAAAGGTAAAATTACCTCCTTGTGATCCACAGGGACGGAAGGATACAATCTCAGAGCCTCTGATAATGCAGCTTGCAAATAATCCATCTTCTTTATCTCCTCTGGTCTAAACACCAACCGACTTTTTAGTTCTTCGTTTTTCATCTCTTCTCTTTCATTAATAATTCTGCTTATCTCTGCAAGAATTTTTTCCTCCACCATTGGATTCTTTTCCAGCAACCAGAAAAACCAGCTCAATGCCACTGAGGAAGTATCTCTTCCAGCAAGTATAAAGTTCACACAAATATCACGCAGGAACTTGTCAGAAAATGGCTTTCCCTGCTCATCTTTCAACCCCATGAATACCGTCAACAAGTCTGATCTCTTGTTCTTGTCTTCACTTTGTAAGGCGAGTTCCTTTTTCCTTGTCCTAATAACTTCTTCAGCAAATTCGTCGACACCCTTTATCGATCTTTTCAGCTTCTTTTCGGTTCCCAAATCAAGGTACCTCATGGCTTTCCATACACATGTTGGCGTAACGAATCGCAGCACCGTGGCCTCCGTTGCGTCCTCAAAGGCTCTGGCGAATGGTATTTCAGGCAACCCAGGACGCAGGCACCCGGGGTCAACCCCAAAGGCTATCATGCAAACGTTATCGAAAGTTAATCTCAACAAGATATCTTGGAGATCAATGGAGATTGATTTGTTCACTGCATTTTCCAAGACAGGCAAGAGCCTGGCATGAACAAGCTCCAGCAATGAGTCGGTGGTCAATTGCCTGAACTTAGCCGAGTGGAACTCAATGCTCGCTGTTTTCCTTTGCCTTTGCCAGGTTTCATCATCTGCACTAAATATTCCGTCTCCGAGAAGATCACGAACGGTGTCACGGAAATAGGGCCCTTTGGGGAAAACAGAGAATTTTGTCTTGAGAAGATGTTCAAGGTTCCTAGGATCAGCAGTAACAACGCAATTGAGACTACTAAACCATGGACCTCTGAACTTGAAAGTCCCATTTTGCTGGCAAACTATGTCAGAAACCCAGTCGTACATGTTAGCCTGGAGACCGGACACTAACGATGGTAGCATGCCTAGAAATGGCCACACAGGCAGGCCATAACGTCTCTTTTGCCTCAAGGAATGTATAACAACAAATACTAAAAGAGCAAGAAATAACTCCAAAATATGAACATCTCGTAAGAAAAACAGCCGCCGGGTAACAAAGTTTCCAGCGAGACTATCATCGGAGGAAAGGGAAGAAGAGGAGGGAGTTAGATTGGTGCTAGGGTCGATCATGGTCTTGGAATGACAGGGAATCAAGGGATATTGCATGGGAATTGTTAGTTAAGGGAGGGGTGGCAATGCGTTATAAGGGATAGGACGTGTTTCTTGGCGTGAATGTTTTGGCCCAATTGGTTTGATTTGGTGAGCTGAATTTTTTGTGTATAGCTGCTTGCCCTTCCTGTGACTTGCAACAACAATATTTTTGTGGGCGCTGCTAACTTTTCTTGATATTGGGAGTATAAATAAAAATTCAGGCTGTCCCGGAAGTTTGCCTTGCTTAAGGAATTATTGGCAAAGATGAATGAGAATGTAGGCAATGCTAGTTGGTTGAGTGTCAAAGCCGAGTTTCCACAAATAGAGTTTACTCTCTCTTTTAAGATGGGGTGTAACGTTAATGGAGGCGGTTGAAAAGTGGGTGGCGACGGGTAACCTAAATAGGAACTATTTTTCTCAATGTTCTTTTCTTTTAGTTTGCGTTTTAGCAAGTTAATTACTAATTGAAATGTGTAGATTAGCTAGCACATAGAATAGGATGGTTTGTGCGGCACCCATAATCTGGTATGGTTACTTAACAGCTACGCCTAACTCTATAAATCACACCCCTTGGCAACAACCCAGCCAATCTTTTGATTACTTACAGTGGGGCTGTATCATTTGTGGATGTTTTGCTTGAATATATAAAATTCCCATTTGGTTAATAGTTTTATTTCTTTCAGGTTGGCCTTTGTAGATCAAACTTTAATTCTCTTATTTATTGAGGAATTCATTTCATGATGTTAAAATAATCAAATATTGAAGTTTAAGCACTAGAATGTATCTTATTAAGTTATTGTTCCCTAGCTTGCCCGATTTGGTCAGTTTCAAAATAGAACATCGGACCAACTTGGAGTGAAGATTATGGTTCGTATTCTAGAGGTGCATGTTAAGTTTTTTGACAAATAAAATAAAATGGTTAATTACACATTAGATACTCAAATTATAATCAAATTCTCAATTTAATATTTAAAGTTCAAAATTGACAATTAGATATATTCAAACATTATTTTTGTCCATCTATATATAAATGAGATTAATATTATTAGTCAAATAGATTATATGTCTAAAAATAACTTATAAAAACGTGTCACGTGTCTTAAAAATATTACATTAACATGTTATATATTACAAATTGACTAAATGTTTTAGATATATCATTCATTTGACTTACTATATTAGTTTAATGTATTATATTATAGATATTAAATTTGTAAAATTCAGGATAATATAATTGTTATAGTGCTACTTTAGCATCACATGTTACGAACTTACATTTGCAACTTAAAAAATATGTTGATAGATAGAGGAATGTCCTTATTTATATATTTAAGACTCATCCATATCTTGTTGATGTGAGATCCATAATATCACGTCTCAGTCTAAACTTAAATGTGTGAAAAGCACAAATAAGTTTGTTGATATGTAGCCTAGCCAGAGTTGGTCGTTGAAACCGTGGTGGAAGAAATGGTTACACGCAGCTTCAAGTTATGTACACTTCCGGTAAGAAAAAAGTATTACGTCTCTAAACTCTACAAGAGAAAAGCCCCAATCAAGCTTTCAACAATGGAAATTCAGGTCAAACAATTTGGTTTTTCAGGTTGGCAACAACCCAGCCAATCTTTTGATTACTTACAGTGGAGCTGTATCATTTATGGATGTGTTTGCTTGAATATATAAAATGCCCATTTGGTCAATACTTTCATTTATTTCAGGTTGGCCTTTGTAGATCAACTTTGATTGTCTAATTTATTGAGGAATTCATTTCATGATGTTGAAATGATCAAATATTGAAGTTTAAGCACATGGAATATATCTTATTAAGTTATTGTTCCTTAGCTAGCCCCTAATTTAGTCACTTTCAAATAGATGTTGAGAAGAAAAACTTCAAACCAACTTCGAGTGAAGATTATGGTCATTAAATTTTGTATTCTTGAATTAAAGTTTAAACTTGACAATTAGGTATATTCGAACATTATTCCTATCCATCTATATATAAATGAGATTAATATTATTAGTCAAATAGGTGATAGGTTTAAAAATAAATGAGATTCATATTATTAGTCAAATAGATTATATGTCTTAAAAAAACTTATAAAAACACATTACGTGTCTCAAAAAATATTATATTAACATGTCATATATTACAAATTGACTAGATATTTTGGATATATCATCCATTTAACTTATGATGTTAGTCTTATGTATTATATCATAGATATCAAATTTGTAAAATTCAAGATCATATAACTGTTACAGTGCTGCCTTAGTACCACATGTTACAAACTTACATTTCCAATTTAAAAGAGAAAGGAATATTTTTATTTATATATTTAAGATTCATCTGTATTTTATTAATGTGAGATCCGTGACACTGTTTTTACTCAAATTTAAATGTGTGAGAAGTCCATTGATATGTAGCTTAATTCAGCCTGATAGCAGTAATGTTTAGCCGGAGTTGGTCCTTGAAACCGTGGTGGAAGAAGTGGTTAATTGCACGCAAATTCAAGTTATGTACACTTCTTAGGAGTTTTCCTTTCGGACTTTTGTTTCTAATATTGATATAAGATTAGATTTACATATGAATTTAATACACATACTATTTCAGGCAAATTCATTTATGGAGATTGGAGACAGGAAGGATTTATAAGACTGAAGCTTAGAATTTAATCATGCCTTAAACACATTATTAAGACAAGATTAAAACGATCATAGGTCAATAACTCTTCAATCTTATATATATATATATACACACACGCACAAGAGAAAAGCCCCAAACAAGCTTTCAAAAATGGAAATTGAAGTCAAACAATTTGGTTTCCAGGTCTAAATCCTGCTTCAATTAATTCTTCAACAAACATGGATTAATTTTTTTTTAAAAAAAAAAAATTCCCGAACAAGGATTATTAATTACGTTAGCTTAGCTTTCACCTTACTTCTTCTTATATTTTATCTTTCATTTCAATCTCCATATTGATATTTCCGCAAAAGATATATTCCTTTCACAACGATTTTTCAAGAGATCTTAAAGAGCTCGTTGTCCATCAGAGCAAGATTCATAAAATTTCAAATCAATTTTATATTTATATATTACAATAAATGAAGATCTGTCTTTATAAATATATATATATAAAATAAATATAAATTATATAAAAAATAAAATAATATGCAATTTAATTAGTTGTACACCAATCTAAATAAATTTCTCAAGCATATAACATTATTTTTTAAAGTCGAGTGGAGTCAATTCACCCACTCAACACAAATGTGACTGTGTTTGCATTGTGTCTCTTATTAATCCCACTGAAAATCAGCTCATTTTGAGCCTTCCACAAAGGCGTGTGTGCATATCAGTCAATTATTCGTTTATTACATTCTCAATCTCCATTCCAATTAATTTATCTATTTTATCATTTTCATAACATTATTTGTAAAAAAAATATATATCTTTTTTAAAAAATTGTTATGATAATAAAAGAACCATTATTAATATCATAAACTTGTATCACATTAATAAAAATGAATGAAAATTTTACTTATATGACCCCTTCGTTTTAATTTTTAATGAAATCAATATAAAAAAAATTTACAAAATAGTTTACTATTACAATATACATATAGTAATTATATATTAAGTTTATTAAAGTTGAGAGGCGTCGATTGACCCCACTCAACAAAATGTCTCTCGGCCTTGTGCAAGTTGCATTTTCTCGTTTCAACTCACCTCATTTTGAGCGTTCCACGAAGGTGTGCAACGCAGCGTTTCAATTTTTCACTCATTGCATCCCCAACTTTCTTCTTTGTTTTATTAGAATTCCCATCATGCCTTCATTTCTAATATTACCATTCTTATCATATTAATTTTATCATTTTATTCCTAATAAAAATGAATGAAAAATGTACTTATTTGACCCCTTTTTTAATTTTTTTTATTTAATTTTAGTGGGACTAATATAAAAATTATATACATAATAAGTATTTTGAAATTTAAATTGAGTGGACACAGTGTGGGCTTTGCGTGTTGCATTATTATTTCGCTTAAAATCACCCCATTTTGAGCCTTCCATGAGGGTGAGTGTGTGGCCCTTTAATCATTTGCCCAGTGCATTCCTGACACTCTTCTCCATTTTAACTAGTTTCCTGCTTCAACGCGTTATAATCATCATTATAACATTATCTTTACCCAAATCATAATTACTTTGAAATTTGCTCATCGCCAACACAAATATGATACTATAAAATCTCAAACCTGCTTCACTTGACCTCTTTAATTTAATCTTTGTTTAGAAAATAAAATTGCATTTTTCATGAATCATGATCTTCAAAAATAATAAAACCATGATCATGAAATGTACAATTTCAAACATACATTAATCCACTTCAAATCAAAATATCCTTTCACACGTTAAACATGACTAATTAATCATGCACATATTATTTAAAAGAACGAAAATCATGTGTCTCTTATTCAATAAACTTACCATGTAACATAGTAAGGGATTTTTTTTTAATTTAATGCTTAAAGATTTATTTAGAAGCCAGAATTTCTTGAAATTTTTTGCTTTAAACATAAAAAAATATTAAAAAAAAACTCGCAAATCACGCCTTCCACTTTTTCTCCATCAACACTTTGACTGTTTTGTCTCTCATTTAGTATGGTTTTTAATATATGGTTCTAATTAAAAGAGAAAATCACATTACAAGGTAAAAACCTACCATTTTACCTTTTCAATAACTTTCTGGTAATAAGCAGAACCAAGTGTTATAAACTGAATTTTGTAGAATATTCTATATAATTCAATATGCTCTAGCTAATTAAGCCATTAATCAATTCTATCTATCTATATATATATATATATCTCATGAATTAATTAAAAGAAAAAGACCATTAAATTCTATCATCTAACCAGCTAGCTAATACTGTTGCTTCATCTTCATCGTTTCATATATATATAGATGATATAATTCAAACAATGCGTTTTTGAATTAGTAATTACTCAATTAAACGGAATGTTACTTAATCATTCAACCATGGGTTTCACTGCCCTCACTCAAAAGAAATATTTAAAAGAAATACCACTAATAAATAAAAATAAAAAAGTGAAAAAGACAAAAGCGAAAAGAAGAAAAAAAAAGAGAAGACAATAGTTGTACAGTATTATTGTACCAACCAAACATAAATTATTCGCGCTGTCCCAGGGCACCACAGTAATGGGTTCAGGATCTTTTCACCATGCCGCCCCCAATTACATTCCTATTCCTATATAAAAGCCCACCCCCTTTTTCTACTGTCTCCACCCTCAACCTCTTCGTTTTTTCTCTTCTCTGTTTCTTTTTCACTACTTCCACCCTCTCTTCATTCCTTCCCTGGCTTGCTGGTGCCAGGCAAGCGAGCAAAGCTTTCAATGGCAAAGCTAAGCACCTGCTTTTTCCTATGCTATCTTCTACTCATTCTCGTTCCCATCTTGGCCCAAAGCAGACAACCTTACGGTGAAGAAGAAGTGCTGCAGAAAGAGGTTGACAGAGTCACGAACTTGCCTGGACAGCCGCCCGTGAACTTTAGGCAGTATGCAGGGTACGTGAAACTCCCACCTCAAAACCAGAAAGCCTTGTTCTACTGGTTTTTTGAAGCCCAAGATGGAGCCGCTCGCAAGCCACTTGTTCTTTGGCTCAATGGAGGTTGGCATCTTCTCCTTTTATACCTCTTCAAACTTCTGTTTAGGTCTATCTGTTTCTATTTTTCCATAATTCACTTGCTTTAGTCGAATTTGAGCTAGTTAATTTCTTTTTTCTTTTTTATTAATGATAATAAAGGTCACTTAGTGGCTGCAAAGAGTCAAAAACAAAAAAAAAGGAACAGAAGTCGAAGTACATTTGTCCCATAAAGGACTTTGATAGGAGCAGAAGAGTAGAGTGCTCAGAAATTTTTTTCACAGTAAAAGAGGAGAATATTTGCTGTCATAACTTTTTAACGGCTAGGTGACGAGAAAAGAGAGCCAATTTCTAATAAGGGAATGGTTGTGTGACTCTGTACACTGACCACTAACTACTGACCACTGCACAGTTTTTCCAAGGCTATAATCATTCATTTAGTTGTCTGCTTAATTACGAAGTAACAACTCAAGATCATTTCTTTCCTTTGGGTTTTGACCCATCCTTGCATATTTTCTTTTCCTTTGGATATTTCTTTATTTATTTATTTATTCATTTCAGACTTTCATTTTCTTAATTGGTTACATCAGTGGAGATATTTCCCTTTCAAAATTGGACATAATTTTTATTAATTAATTTTTTTTCTTTTACCGAATGACGATAAGATTAACCTATTCGAGTTTAGTATCAACTACTACTGCCAAGGACGGAGAAACTAGGTCACAAATGTCAATAAACTACTGCCAAAATTTTCCCAACCAGTGCCAGTGCCGCCTAAATCAATTTAATTTTTAGAAAAGCGCGACTTAGTACACAAATACAAGTTTGAATTTGCCAATTTCAAAGACCATATTAGCATGGGCGAACAGGACATTGGACACACATCCCTTACAGGGACCCTACCTATTGCCAGGCCACACGAGCCCACAGCCTTTTGAGACTTTGACCGGATAAGCATCTAATATGTTTGCATCGAGAAATATGAACCGTCCGATCAACGTAACTGATGCTTTTCATCCTTCTTCTTCCCCTTCCATGGCCAGACTCCTCTTCCTTTCTGTGAAATTGCTTCTTGTCTTTTTGTCTGAAGAGAACAAATTCGGGGACCCATGCGTGCAACATGTGACTGACAATTCTGTCCTGTACAAAATTCTCGTGCGGAACTTTGGGACCCAACTCTAATGCATTACCCAACTACTGTGATAATCATTTTAATTTTGTTGTCTTTTCAAAAGCACAGTTATTATAGTTTGAAAATCCAATGTGTGTTACTTTCTCCTTTTTGGTTTGGAAGAAACATCCCTTACTTTTCACACGGCTCATCAGTAGTTTCTTGTAGGTTAATTGGATTGGAATCAGTCAAAATTTGACATACTTTAAAATGGTTATTAATTTATTTATAGTACTTGCATATAAAATTGTATCCTTTTTATGGCAAGATATGATTGATAACCAAATTGACAATTTTGTAATTAGGACCTGGCTGCTCATCAGTGGCCTATGGAGCTGCACAAGAACTTGGTCCATTCCTTGTTCGAAGCAATGGCACTCGGCTTACCTTTAACAAATTCTCTTGGAACAAAGGTAGTCAATTTGCGAATTTGTCATTCAATATTCTCCATCCTCTTTGTAGCAATATGTATGTATATTTATTTATGTACATATATCTTCTCTTTCTCTATTCAAATGCTCACTCCTCATCATTGCTATGGTTAGTTGCAAATATGCTGTTTTTGGAGGCACCAGTTGGCGTTGGATTTTCGTATACCAACAATACTGAAGATTTACGTACACTTGGTGATCAAATTACAGCTGCTGACTCTTACTCATTCTTAATTAATTGGTTCAAAAGGTTTCCAAACTTCAAATCCCATGACTTTTACATTGCTGGAGAGAGCTATGCTGGTATGGTACCACCTTTTCACTTTCTGAGAAATGTCCTGTCATTTTCCGTAGATTACTGGTATCTGCTATATTAATATTTTTGTTGACTCTTTAGCATACGTGAACATGCACTTCATTTCCCTTTTCCTCTGCCTCTGTCAGGTCACTATGTTCCCCAGCTGGCTGAACTCATTTATGAGAAAAACAAAGGATCTAGCAAAGACTCCCATATTAATCTCAAGGGATTCATGGTATAAATGTGCATGTATAATTGTATATATTCTTGTTCTGCTGGTAATTAAATGCTGTTTGTGAGCTTGAAATATTTCAAGATGAACCCGTAAGAAATGAACTGCAATGTTTCTTTTGGTTAAAACCCAGATTGGGAATGCTGCCATCAATGATCAAACAGACACCTTAGGCCTCGTTGATTATGCTTGGAGTCATGCGATCATCTCAGACCAACTTTACAATACCATAAACAAGGAATGTGGTTTTAAACAAAGTAGTAACCAAACAGCCGGCTGCGCTCAACATTTGGGAGGTTTCATGGAAGCTTATTCTGACATTGACATATACAGCATCTACACTCCTGTTTGCCTTAATTCTCCCGGAAGAACCTATCCTAAACTCCTAGCTGCTCCTCGTCTCCTAACACAACATGTAAGTCCCAAAACATTTTGTTATCTTGTGGATATTCTTGAATGTATATTTGGTTTTGTGTATGCAAGCTTTTGCTAATTTTCTTGATTTTAATTAGGACCTCTGGCATAAGCTACCATCAGGCTACGATCCATGCACAGAAGACTACGTGGAGAAATATTTTAACAGAAAAGATGTTCAGACTGCCCTGCATGCTAATGTCACCAAGCTTCCCTATCCCTACACTACATGCAGGTAAAACTAAACTACACATGATTCCTTTTTTACTCAATCTATATATGTTACTATGGAAGTAATCTGGTTTACAGTTTCTTAGTTTGCTTTCAGAAATGTGTCAAATTAATCTCTGGTAAATGGAAATTCTAAAATTACTGCTACTGTACAAAGTTAGCATTACATATATATAGTATTTAATATTCGCTCTGCTTAATTTATGTAAAAAACAAAAATGGCTCCGCCGTTGTGTAGACTGAGAGAGAGTATGGTAGCCAGAGAATCCTGGAACTATCGAGCATTTAATGTGAGCATGTGTCAAATCATCGAAGTAGAGCTTTCTTTCTGTTACACTGCCACAAAATTTAAGTGAAAGACAGGACAGCAATAGGATTTTGACCTTTCCTTTTCACTGTCGTTTATGGCACGCAAACTACTCATTTCAATCATTCAAGCGGTTAGATGGTGGAGGAAAGCATCAAAAAACACAACAAAATGAAATAGTTATTCTATGCCAGGACATAAAGTTATACGTGGGGTCAATTGGGAGGGTAGAATTTCCGAATTTTACCTTGGGTTTTCCTTGCTCTTTATCCCAAAATTTTGGCACCCTCAGCATTTTTATGTGACATTTTCGGTAGTAACAATGCCTCTTGAACTCCAATCGAACTTGACATTTTATTCAATTACCCGTTACTCTATTTATATCTAGACCCAAAGTTGGGAAGATTATGACACCAGAAACCTTTTTGTTCACTTGCTTTCTTCTTAGGGCACTTTTATTTATTTATTTATATTGATATTATATCATATCCCCAATGTTGCAACTTGCTAACAACTAAACAATCATCGCACAAATTTATTCATGCCCAGCATTTACATTGAATATCTCAACTTGGTACCATCTAGGAGACCCAAGCAATAATAGCAAAGTAATAGATTCCTTAAGGCAGAGGTCAATATAATTGTTTATTTAAAGTTTCCTCAGCTCAAGCTGTTTATGGCTTCATTTGAATGGTCCCGAAGCTCTATGACTATCTACGTGGTCCATCATCCATGTCGCAGTAATCGCTGAAATGCTTTCATATGGAGACTGGAGTACCTTTCTTTTGTTTTTCTTTATGTCTCCTCTTGAACACAGGCAGTAGAATGCAGGCTTGGTCATGTATGTATATATAGAGAGAGAGTATTAACTTTTCTATTGCTAAATACATTCGCAGTGGTGCAATCAGGGATTGGAATGACTCTCCCGATACAGTGTTGCCCACCATTCAAAAACTCCTAAAAGCTGGCTTGCGTATTTGGATTTACAGGTACATATACAAACATTTTCTTTTGGCTCCTCAAATTTAATCAAGTTTTGCTGAGATCTTACATATAATTACTATGTTGCAGTGGGGATACTGATGGGAGGGTGCCAGTGACATCAACGAGGTACAGCATAAACAAAATGGGGTTGAAAATAAAAGAAGAGTGGAGGGCCTGGTTCCACAAAAGCCAAGTGGCTGGATGGGTAGAGACCTACGAAGGAGGCCTGACGTTAGCCACAGTACGCGGTGCGGGCCATCAAGTCCCGGTCTTTGCTCCTGATCAGTCCCTTTCTCTCTTCACCCATTTTCTCAGTGCCAACACCTTGCCATCTTCACGCTTCTAGCTACCTCGCATCTGTTACTGCTGCTACGGCTATAGCCAATAGTATGTTCAGCAACGTTTGGACAGTTCTATAAGACTTTTTAGCTACTAAATTTCCGCCTTCACTACAGCTTTCTAAATGAATTCTCTCTCTCTCTCTGTCTCTCTCTCTTTTTCTCTCTCTATATATATATATATATATATCGATATACATGTATCTTGCCTTACCTCAAACACAAGATCAAGTAAGCCTAGAATCTAGACGGTTCATTTTTCCACTTTTTGGGTGAATAATTTTAAAAAAAAGAAATCAATTAAATGAATACAAATTAAATATTTAAAATTAAATGAATACAAATTAAATATTTAAAATTAAATGAATACAAATATTTAAAATAATGTAAGGCATTGTACCATCGCTTTCTTGAATCCTGATCCAGAGTGGGCAGATCTTGTCCTCCACAACGGGGTAGACAGTGCCGAGTGCAATGCCATTTTTTAGCAAGCTACTGCCTAAAGCGATTGAGGGGATTTCAGAATAGTAATTTCTAATATTGAAAAATGTGTAGCCTTATCCAAATAATGAGAATGCTTCCCCAAAGCCAAACTTCTATGACACAAATTGCATGCATGTTGTTGTCATGCGTGATACAGCAAAGTATTTTCTCATTAACAATCCCAAAGCAATGAGCTTATTTTAATATTGGAAAACTTCACCACCTCAAAAAGATAGTGACACTACTCTATTACAATTGTCGAGCATGTTATCTATTGGCCAACCCTTGTCCCTTTTTCGGATTTTTATGCATTTGTTATTCCTCTTGCCTACCCAGCTGAAGCTTTTCCTTGGCTAATGTGATCATGTTATCATTGCATTTTTCTTCATGTTCACCTGTATATCTTGTGGGGGCATGATAAGCTTTCTCATTTTCTTAATTTTAACTATCACATGACCATATAATATGTACACCTTGTAGAAGGAGAATTTTTTTTATTCAATTACAAAATACCATATGTCCTAAATTAATAAATTGACAAAAATTTTCAAAGATGGATCATTACCATCATGTGCACTCGAAGGAATAATTAAGTAAACCATATAATTAATTATTTGTCTGATGATTTACTTTTGAATGCCTTCTCTTCCCTTCTTGTTTCTTTTTTTTTTTTTCATTGCTTTCCCCTTAATGTTTTGAGAATACTCTTCCCATTGTGAAAGCAAAACACCTATAAGTCTCGTTTCACCATTCTCTACAAGCTCATCAAGGAAAGAAACCTCAACATAGCTCACCTCACGTCACTTGAATGGTGTTCTAAAAGGTTGGAATGAGTATTTTTTTTACCCTTTCAGTAACTTGTGATGTATTAATTAATAACGTGAGGAAGAAATGATGTTATGTGTGTCTAAGAACTTTCTTTTGAGAACATGATAAGCGCTTATATAATGAATATGCTTAATTTTTCATTTTTAAGTAATCAATGATGCCATAAACATGTTGGAGGAGGGATGTGAGGGCATCTCTATTAATTTGGATATGGTATATAGTTTTAATCTTCATTCATGATTATATACACACACACTTAAATGATGAAAATTATGAAGATCATCAACAAATGCTTGTAATAATAGACCAATTTTTCTTTGTTCAATTCTTTCTTACAAAGGTCAAAAGGTAACATTAGATTTTCATGCAAAGATTTTAACATTTGATATAAATAAATTTTATAAGATATGTTTGAAATTCCTCCCAAAAGTATTTACATGAAATTAAGTCACTTATTATAGATATTTTATATAAAATTAATTAATCTTTAATTGATCAAAAAAACATAAAAGGTATATTAATTCTTTTATAAAAGAGAAAGATAATGCAAAATAAAATAACTTTGACTTTAATATCTCTTATGGAGGTTTCATATTAATGAAGAGTAAAATAATTTCAAATATCACTTGTTACAGATTTATATTTTTAATATAAAAAAACCTTTGTTTATAAACTGAAAACTCATCTCACCTCTTTTCAATGGAATCCGTGACACTGGTGTATGGTTAATTTAAATTTCAATTTTAATTGTTGAATATTAATGGAGATTTGCTTACAATTGGATGCAGGTGAATTGACCATAACAAACCTGTAAAAGAAGCTCTGGGCCTATGGCAAGCCCAAGCCTTCCTTAATGAAGCAGAAAAGCCATGGCACCGGAACCAGCAGAATCCAACCCAAAGAAAGCACAAACCTAAAGGCCCCAAAAGTGGTAAGAAGGACTTTCTCCATTTCGACATTTTTCTGCTTCGGCGTCTCAAATCCGGAAACACTGCATAGCCAAGGAAGCCGAGCAAAGCTCAGAGTCTCCGAGGGAGTTTTGTTGGCAGCTGGTTTCTCAATGGCTTTTCTTTTTAACAAATTCCAAGATGTAAGTTCTTTTTCTTTCCTACCATCAATTCGTTACCTTCTCCATTTCAGCGATCTTTCATTTTAGGACCTCAAGTAACTTAACAGATTGCATTCAAGTTATTTATGACTTTGGGTGACAATGAATCAACGGTGGAGTTCTATTGAGGCCATTTTATGCATAAAATAAGTGTTCTGCATGGTTATTGCAGGCTGTGAGATCCCTTGCAAAGAGTCCCACTTTTGCTAGGGACCCAAGGAAACTCCAATTTGAAGCTGACATCAATCGCCTTTTCATGTACACCAGGTTGGTGGTCTCCGATGCCTATACCCCTTTTCTCATTCCTTGTCATTTTAGTCCTATATGTTGATTGGTTGAAAATTTTAAATTGTTGTTTGTGCAATATTCAGTTTCAATCGTTTGGGGAAGAATGCGGATGAGGCAGATGCAGAGGAGATCATTGACATGGCTGGTAAGGCCTCTGTTGCTGACCAACAGAAGCAAGTTCAGGAAAACGTTCATTTTCAAATTCAAACCTTCTGCACTGCTATGGATGGACTTCTTCTTCCTGATATCAGTGAGCCACAGAAATCCCAACCAGATGCCACACCTTCCCGAAGTGGTCTTAGCTTTGCTGTTGGAAGGAATGCCCCACCTTCTAACCATCCTGGTTTGTAGATTTCTGGTTTATCTGTTTTCTGAGTTGTCACGCTATATGGTTTATAAATTATTTGAGTCTTATGGAGTAATCAAGCTATATTTTCAAGGAAATTGGGCTTTAACTGTTCTTAGCAGTTGCTTTGCTCTACATCACATTGTATTGCAGCTGTAATTTGATTATTTTGATTTGGAAGTTAAAACGTGAATTAGTTTTAGACCTTCACTGCATTTTTTCATATGGCAACTGAGGTGCATGATATTGCAGCTGTCAAGGAAATTGGGCTTCCACTGTTTTTAGCAGTTACTTTGTTCTATGTCACATTGTATTTCAGCGGTAATTTGATGATTTTGATTTGAAAGTTAAAATGTAATTAGTTTTAGACCGTCACTGCCTTTATCGGTTGCAATGCAATTTTTGATATGGCAACCTTCACTGAGGTACATGTAGGTAGTAGTCAGTGCTCATAGTCATAGAAATACAATTTTTTTTTGTGTGTTTCTTTTGTGAGAAAGCTTTGTTTGTTAGTTTTTGTTTTAAGATAATTGTGATAGGTACAAAATAAGTGCATTAAGCATTGATCTAGACGTATTATGAAGAGATAATTGCTAGTATATGTGATACTAATGAATTACAGAAAACTGAGCTAAACTTTATTATTCTTGCTAAGTTTGTGATAGATCTGTACAAAAAATGAAATAGCAACAATTATTTGGAATATGAATCTTTTCATCCTTCATTTGACTTTTATCATATATGCCTTTGGTCCCTAACTTCTATTTTGTACCAGTAATAATGGAGTTAAATGGAAGACCCTGCCACTGATAATCTCCTTCTCAGCCTTAACTATTGATGATTTTTCAGTGCAGCTGTTCCTGAGACAAGGCCATTAAAGCGCACTGAACTCTCACAGAGGTTGAAGGATTCCATTGGCTACACACTTGATATCAAACCATCTCAAATACCCCACAATGAAGCTGGACAAGGTTTATTTTTGAATGGTGAAGCTAATGTTGGAGCCGTCATTGCAATGTACCCTGGTGTTATATACTCCCCAGCTAATTACCGATACATTCCTGGATACCCAAGAGTTGATGCACAAAACACGTATCTGATCACAAGATATGATGGGACTGTAATAAATGCCCAACCCTGGGGTTATGGGGGTGAAACACGCGAATTTTGGGATGGCTCAACAATGCCAGATTTGAGGCCCAACGCAGAAGTGACAGAGAAAGGTTTGGACCGGTTCTGGAGAATGCTTAGTAAGCCTTTGAATAACTCACAAGTGGGGAGTGGTTGTGAGATTTTGGAGCATAGAAACCCTCTAGCTTTGGCTCATTTTGCCAATCACCCTGCTAAAGGAATGGTCCCAAACGTGATGGTTTGCCCTTATGACTTCCCACTGACTGAAAAAGACATGAGAGCTTATATTCCAAATGTATCATTTGGAAATGCAGAAGAAGCAAATATGAGGAGATTTGGCAGCTTTTGGTTCAGATCATGGGGCTCGAGAAATAGTGGGTCAGATGTTCCTGTTTTGAAGACACTTGTTCTGGTGGCTACTATGGCACTTTGTGATGAAGAAGTGCTGCTGAACTACAGGTTAAGCAACTCAAAGCGAAGACCATTGTGGTATACTCCTGTGGATGAAGAGGAGGATAGAAGGAGATGGAGCTAAATTAACAGAGCTGAGGTATTGAAGGATAGACAGCTAAAGGAAAGACCAGTCATTGAAAATTGGATAGAATTGTTTTGAACCATTGAAGATTAGACAACTTTGAATGCATGTTCAATGCAGTCCTGGAAAGGAATTTTTCTTCGATATTTATTACAGTCCCTTGAGAAACTGAATCCTTAGCCCAAGTTAAGGTAGTTATGATGTAAAGCTGTATGATGCTCTACCCTTGTGTTATCATAGTTAGGGAGGATAGAAGAGATAAGGTGCGGACTGATTTGGGTGACTATACTACCAAATCAAATTATGAGTCAAAAAAAAAAAAAAAGAAAGAAAAGAAAGGGAAATGTTCCCTGTTTTTTGGTATCAGACCGGAAAGGACTTTGTTGAGGCATTGAAAGTAAATATTTCACGTCGAATGAAGGTTGTTGCT